AACCCCAAACCCTAAACCCAACCCCTCTAAAAGACTCGAGACTCCAAGGCCACGACCGAGGCCTCGATGTCTTCGAGGCGGTCCCGGTCTGCCTGGGTTGTAGGTCTTTTCAAAGCTTGATTCAGGGTTTAGGAGTTCAAGGTTTAGGGTTCAGGGTTTAGGGTTTAGGGTTTAGGAGTTCAAGGTTTAGGGTTTAGGGTTTAGGGTTCAGGGTTTAGGGTTTAGGGTTTAGGGTTTAGGGTTTAGGAGTTCAGGGTTTAGGGTTTAGGGTTTAGGAGTTCTTTTGGGTTTGTTGTGCAGGGTGTTAGACAGGGGGCTTTTTGGGTTCAGCGTTTTCTGGCTTAGGGCTCTTTCCTTCTAGGCATGCAGGGGGTGGGCTTTTTGCAATTTCCCTGCGAGGTTGGGGCTGATCCAACTAGAGCGCCCAGCATTCGGTGAGGCCTGGCGAAAGTGAGGGTTTCGCTGACTTCCCATTGAGGCTGGAGGAAAGTGAAGATCTTTAGCCCTCACATCCCCTCGAAACCCTTAAACCCAAACTCCCGAATCCGAGTCCCCTGGATCCTAAACCGCAAAGGAAGCCTGCGAGACACCCTCCAAGCACGCACGGCTACCAAAAGAGCCCCTCAAACGGACTCCCAAAGGGACCCTTTCATGGACTCCTCAAACTTCAAACTACCCCTGCAGGTACCCTTAAAGGGGATCCTCTTAAGGGAACCATAAAGGGGGTACCTTTAAAGGGGATCCTTTTAAGGGAACCATAAAGGGGGTACCCTTAAAGGGAGTACCCTTAAATGGGATCCTTGTATATAAGGGAGCCACAAAGGGACCCTGACTACTGCAGGGACGGAGGGGAGGCCTCGAGCTGCGTGTTGGCAGCAGAGGCTTCGGCCTGAAGCGCTCCGGCTGCGGAGCTTGGAGCGCATTTTCGCTTTTAAGTTGCTATTTTTATGCTGTTGTTTTAGACTTCCGAGTTTTTGGAGTGGTAGTTTGGCTTTAGGTCACCTTAGGTTTATTTGTTGTTGTT